ATCAAAATGTGTATTTGACCTGAGCAGATATGAATTACATAAAAGATGCTCCTGAGTGTTGGAGACGTGGTGAGGAGTGCCAACAGGGGTCAGGGCGGGGGTGGGGGAGGGGGTCACTGCCAGTTGCATGGGCTGGCATGTGATGACTGACAGGGCAGCTTGTTCCAGGCCTCTCCACAAAGCAAAACCGGCTCCAACTAGCAGAAGCTACAGGGAGGCGGGTTTCAGTGTCTCATTTAGCAAAAAAACACATTTTGGTTCACTGGGAGCTTTCCGACAGGACAGGCTGATTCATTAAGGAAATGAGATTTCATGTCCCTGAGCTATTCCAGGTACCGCTTGTCAGGGCTGCTGTAGAAGGGGCTTTGAAAAGTGAGTCTGTATAACAGCTAAGGGATCTGAGATGCCTCTTAAATTTTCTTGGAGAGGTAAACACATAAGCAGATTCTACTTACCCTGGGAGAGTTTCAGGGGAGAGATTTGGGGAAAGGGTAAATGATTCAGTCTTGGCTGGTTTTTAATAGGAGCCATTTGAATAATGAACTGTTGATCCACTCATTCCATAAAGATGGATCAAGCTCCTGGAGGGCGATGAGGATGCTGTACAGTCGAGAATAATAAAAGCAATCCTTGGTCCTTTTTCTTGGCCATTAAGAAATTTGAGGCTGTCAAAAACGTCTTAGCGCTGACATTTTTCTCCAGCAGAACCCAAAGCTGGTCCTGGGGGGGAATTGTTACTAGGAAGAACAAGAGCAAGGAGAGCTGGAAATACAAGGGCTCAGTCATCACATGGCCAATGGAGCTGCTTTCTGGTACCCGCTTCTGTTAGAATTGAAGGAGGAGACAGAAGCTCCAGCTCCAGCTACAGACCTTTTACTTCCTGGTTTTTGAGTCAGGGTCTTGCCGAATTGCTTAGGGCCGTGCTAAGTTGCTGAGGCTGAGCTTTGAACTTGCCATCCTCCTGCCTCAGCCTTCCGAGCGGCTAGGATTACAGCATAATCCCAGCACCCAGCACAATGAGGCCTTTAAATATCATTCTCCATCAGGCTCAGAGTAAGGGCCAGAAACCCGGCAGGGCACAAAGCGCTGCGCAGGGAGCCCAGGGCAACTGCGTGCAGCCTCTCTGTGAGGCCGCCCCACGGGGCCACAGGTGTGTGCAGAGGACAGTGCGAGTTCTTCCAAACACTCCTGACTCTTTTACCCTGTGGCTCTGCTCATGCTCACTTAAATTTTCTTTGAACCATCCTTCTTACCTTGTCCTTCTTACCCTGGCAAGGCCTACCTAAAGACACCAGCTCACATGTCACTATCTGTCAGTAACGCCAGGCAGTGGCTTCCTAGTCTGCAGCCTTGTCCACTTGCATTTGCATCACTGGTGACAGGGACCTAGTAGTGTCTTAGAAGGTAATTGTGGAGATAAATTGAATATTTTTTAGAATATAAATCTGTAAGGTCAGGTGTGGTGGTGCACACCTGTAATCACAGCTACTCAGGAAGCTGAGTCAAAAAGATCTCAAATTCAAGGCTACCCAGGACAACTTAGGACTCTTAGAACAACCAGTGAAGTGGCATCTGGACTTGACTCTCAATCACAGATTCTATAACTGGGTGTTCCACTGTGCACAGAGGAAGTGGCTCAGCGTGTCCAAGCTCCAGGCCCAAAGGAAGGCCTCCCTGCCTCTACAGACCTCCATGTTTGGGGCTGTCACTATTTGAGGGTGACTCAAGTTATGTTACATGGGAATAAAATGGGAGATGTGCAAACCTCTTGCAGAGAAAGTTCTTTATCCCCTGAGAAGCAGATGCAGCCTCCGGAGAGTGAGTTTCTAATCTCACCCACTGTGGTGGACCACAGACTCCTGCCTCCTTCCTCTGTCAGTCTGGCACCTGAAAGCAAACAGAAAGAGATGAGGCTGTGAAAAAACATGCGAGAAGTCCTCCAAAGCAAGCCTGAGGCTGCTGAGTTTCTCCTTTAGGAAAATGTGGGCTCCTCATGGTCACCCTTAAAGCCTTCATCGCCTTCCCCTGAGCCAAAAGAAAATGAAGATTAATAATGATAATTTTAAAAATTATGCCTGAGAGGTTACATATAAAAGAACAGAGGGCACAAAGCCGACCTCGGATAGGAATGATGTGTGGCTTATCAACCAGGGCCTGTTCCATTTGCCTTGGGATCATCACCCTGCCAGCTCAAGAGAGAGAGTACTGAACCTTGGAAGCTGACATCAGAGAATGGCAGTGCCAGGGAGAGACCTTAGGAATCGAGTTTTTCACCCTGTGTCCCGAGTTGTGCAGATGTCATATCCATACCCAAGATGCTTGGAAATGGAGGTGTTTCCGATTTGGGGGGGTTTCCCCCTGATTTTTGAATATTTGCATATGCACTATGAGATAACTAGGGGATGGGACCCATCTCCAAATATGAAATTTGTTTGTTTCACATACCCCCGGCACATATAGCCTGAAGGTAACTTCATACAATATTTTTAATAATGTTCTACATGAAGCAGAGTTTGTGGTATGGAATCTTCCACTTGTGGCATCGTGGCAGTTGGGATTTGGAGTTTGGATTTTCTGATTGGGGGTGCTCAACCTGTGTAACTGAGGGGAACCAGGAATGAGACTGGAGGTCGAGTTGCCAGAATCAAGCCACTGACATTCTGGCTGTTCTTTGCTGTCTCTTAGGACAGACACAGTTGAGACCTGTGCAGTCACTACAAGAGAGGATATAACAGAACTTATCCTTTGTGGTGCAGAATTACTTACTATGAGCATTTAGACTCAAACAGGACCCTGGGGGCTAGAGGGCCTGGCAGACCTCAAAGGTGGGCCATCCTGACAGGTGTGCTCTGGACAGCATAGGGAGGGTCAGTGGTCCCCAAGCATGAGATGTGACCACAATGAGCGGACAAGGAGACCCACCTTTTCTGGAGCAGAAGGAGAGCTCCTCTGTCAGGAGAACAGTGCTGGAGAGTCGGTAGAGCAGATTTTGCAACTCTTAAAATCCAAAGGGTTTTGGGCTTTCTGTGGGTGACCACAGGGAGCTTCAGAGAGATTTGGCCTCAGGCAAATGGCAGCTGTACGTGAAAGTTTAAAGAGCAAGGTGTTGAGATCTGGCGTGTGCTACTTCATGGCGCATCTAGGGAACAAGAGCAGCAAGAGGGAAGAGAACCCCAAACCAGGCTTCCCTGGAGCACGGCCTCCGGAGTAAGGCGCATCTTGTTATGTAATGTGTTGCCTCAGTGGAGGGCTAGCTGAGGATGGGAGGCACTCCTGGCCCACACGCACCCCTCCACCTGCTGTCAGGGAACCCATTCATACCTCTGGCTCAGTCTAGCTTCCCCTCGGGAAGTAGGACCAAGAAGAGCAGGCGCTGTGCCTGGGGGTGGGGGTGGAGCCCTCCATCAGACAGTTCTGCTACCTGGCATCACCAGGTATTGGGGATGAATAAGGCACAGTTCATCTTCATGGAGCTTCAAGGAGTTGTGAGGAAGACACACCAGATACACTTGGTGCCCAGGGTGATGCCCAGGGTGATGCCCAGGGTGAGCGCAGTGTGTATCGGAGCCGAGGAGAACAGGAGGGGTGCTCTCAGCATCAGCTGAGCCCTCCACAGGGGCAGCGGGGTGGAGAGCAGAGGCAGGGGACGTGCTCTGAACCCTGAGCTGAGCACTGTGGGGCTGGGAGGCAGGAGCACCAGACCTCCAGGTTGTACCATAGGGCCCACAGGGTTGGGTGGGGGGAGAAGGGGCGGGGGAGTCTGGTGTAGAGGACACTGACTGAGGCCACCGGTGAGGAAGCAGGAGGTTGGGGCAGATGTTGAGGTCAGGCGTGGACAGTTAAAGTGTCTGACAGCCAGGTCAAGATGTCCTGACCTGGAGCCCAGAGTCAGGAAGCTCCACTGCAGAGCTGCCCTGCCCAGCAAGACAATGGGACACTTCTCTGGCCAGACCATCTGTCTCAACCAGCCCTCCCTCACTGAACCCCACCTTTTTTCTGGCCTCTCTCACGATGGTCATTTGCCTCCAGTGGTAGATCCTCATGCCTTCCCAAGGATACCTCGGCTATCCTGGGGGTAGACTGTCCTGGTCTGTGAAAAGACTGCCAGTTCTTACATCACGAGAGAGAAATTTTCAATTACCAGGATCCTGGCTTATCGTCACGTGCAAATCAATCACTATGATCCGTGACCGCAGGGGTAAAGCGGGACATTTATTTTTCATAAACACTTTCAACTTTGAAAACCAGCATCCTCCAGTAATAACAGAGAGGAACGTAGACATGTCCTGTAGCCCTTTTGAAGCCGAGTCATGTCACAGCCAGCATCTTTTTCAACAGTAAAACAAATGCTAAAATCCAGCAGCCGCTGCTTGCTCTCGACAGCATCTGAACTAACGCTTCATAACAGCAATATCATGGGATGCTGCCCAGAGCCAGGGTTCAAGGAGTGGGTAGTGGCCTGCGGTGCCTTTGGTAGACTCTCAGTCCGCCGTGTCCGTGTTCCAGCGCACCCTCTGATTGCCCATCAACTTTCTCCAGCAGCTGTGGGTCGGGCGGTTCTTTGTGCTCGTGTTTCCACATCAGAGCCTGTTGTTCTGCTTCTGCTGCACAAACCACGTCTGTCCTGACACCACTCATGCAATTTGTGCTCTTCCAAGCCCAGGTTGTGTTGTTGTGATATTTGTTATCATGCTACACAGAAGGGCTCTGTGAAACTCGGCATTGGCCCAGCGTCGTTAGCTATTCCGGGAGTTCAAGAGCCTGGGTGTGGAGGACGCTGTAGTTATGTTACTTAGAAATGAATTCCTAATATCTACCAAACCGTGCTTCAGTTTTCTGTAGCTGTTAAAATTTTGGTTTGTTTGGGTTTTTTTTAAATCATTTCATACATTGTTTACCACTGACATGCTTGCTGCTAGCTCCTTTAACATTCATAACTAGCATATGGGTTGGTAAAAGGTTCCTTTATTTAATGTACTGATACTTTTTTTTCCCCATAGGGATTTTGCTTATGTAGCAAGAGATAAAGATACCAGAATTTTGAAATGTCATGTATTTCGATGTGACACACCAGCAAAAGCCATTGCCACAAGTCTCCACGAAATTTGTTCCAAGGTAAGGTGGGTCAGGGAAGAGCAGTGCACCTCTCTCTCCTCACCCCTTGAGCAGATGAAGGGATGTGGAAGGGCAGGAGAGGGGACATGGAAATCAACTCAGGGAAGAAGTGGGCAGATTGTTCAACCCATCCCAGTAAGGAATGGTGGTCCTTCAAAATCCACAGGGGAGCAGAAACAGTACCTCAGCAGATACCAAAGTCCTCAGATGCCAAGTCCTTTATATAATGTGGTGAAGTGTTAGCGTGTATTCTATGTACATTTTCCCATGTACTTCAAAGTATTTCCAGATTCCCTATCATACCAAATATAATATAAAGGCTTTGTAAACAGTTGTTTGACTGTTATTATTGAGTTCAGTACCGATATAGCTGTTGCAGGCTTACCTACATACACACTTTGGCACCACCATAACGTTTTTAACCCCTGGTCGCTAGAATCCACAGACTCAGAACTCTCACAGAGGGAGGGCTGCCTGAAATCTGTAGGCCAGGTGTTGCTCCAAGTGGTCCTGTCTCCAAAATGAGGATTTGGTTCCTAAGCCCATGGCTCTGTGAAGCTGGTGAGGGAAGGTTTGGAAAGCAATGACCCTTGAGCACAGCAGTCATCCTGCCCCCAACAGAGAGCAGCCGACATTTCTGAAGCCACTGACCGTTTGACACACTGGCTCCTTCAGTCCTCGAAACTGCTCTGTGACATAAACACTGTAGTCATCCCATGCATAGTGGAGGAGATGAGATGAGATGTAGGAGGGCAGGTGACTTATCCAGTGCCACACAGTAAGTGGCAGAGGTGAGATCTGAACCGACATATTCTGTCTCCAGAACCCTGAAAAAAAGTATCTGAAAGTGGGCATCTAGAAGAGCCAGGGAAGCCCCACCATGCCATGTTCCGCTAACCACTGTGGGCCAGCAGGTCCAGGCCAGACCATGGATATTGGGTGACTTTCAGCAAAGCTGGAAGCCTGGAGAATGGAAGAAGTAGATTCCAAACAATCAGGAGACCGTTACTCTGAGAAACAGCTTACCTGTTATCCCCAGAGAAAATGAGCAGAATTCTCAAATGAAAAACATAGCCCTGAGGAAGGGGCCAGGAAATCGGGTAGAAAATTTAAAGCTATTTTAACTTGGAAGTGAAATCCACTCAGACACATTACAGCTGAACTCGCTGAAGTTGTGGGGCCTGCACCCGCCAACCAGAGCTGTGTTTGCGCTTAATCTTTAGATTATGGCTGAACGGAAGAATGCCAAAGCCCTGGCCTGCAGCTCCTCGCAGGAGAGGACTAGTGTGAATCCCGAAGTCCCTTTGCAAGGTAGGCCAGTGGCACCTCCCCCTCATCCTGGCATGTCCCTCACGGCAAGAAACAAGAGGGCTCAGGTGGTTCTCCATTGTCTTGAGTTTCCTAAAAAAAGCATATTCAACTCAAAAAACATGAGTGGAGTGTGCACCTTGGGCCTACAGGGGCACAGACTTGACTTTGTGTCCGTAGGATTAGTACAAAGGGTGGGGTGGCTGTGTTGCTATTGCAAAGTTAAAGAATATTGTTTTCATAACTCATGTAAAGTATGGGGTAGGGACTAATTTTTAAAAATGTATGTTCTTTTGGGGGACTCTTGGTTATGCTTTCCTTAGCACACATCAGAGAGACAGTTTGGCCCATCAGCTCCTGGCTTCAAACTCTTTCCCACCTTTAAATGAAAGTTTAACGGGATTTTGACTGACAGAGATAAAGGACTGGGAAATCAGGTGAAAGACTAAATAAAGCTCATTTAACTTGGAAGTGAAACCAACTTCCAAACTTCCAAAGGTGGTTTTACTTCCAAGTTAAATGAGCTTTTAGTCTTTCGCCCGATTTCCCCAGTGTCTAGGGTTAGTGCTATTTTGATTTTGTTCAGGAACAAGACAAAGGCACAGGTGGTGTTCTGGCGATTTCAGATCCCAGGTGGTGACTATTTTTTCTTATGTGTGGCAACCACTGAGAAGGATGGGCTGCTTTTGTTCCCTACAGTAGATTTCCCAACGCCAAAGACTGAACTGGTCCAGAAGTTCCACGTGCAGTACTTGGGCATGTTACCTGTCGACAGACCAGTCGGTATGTATGGCCTTATTGTCCTTCCCCTTTGAAGGTGTTCAGGAGCTTGTGGGAGGTATTCACACCCCCAAGAGGGTGAGGTGCACAGTTACTCCCTTGCCTTGTCTTGAATCAAGCCCTCTTTCCATCACCAGCCATGGCCCATGAACAGTTCTGATCAAATGAGCCTTGTGGAGCTGGGCGCGGTGGCACGTGCCTATAATCCCAGCGGCTCAGGAGGATGAGGATGAGGCTGAGGCAGAAGGATCGAGAGTTCAAAGCCAGCCTCATCAATGGTGAGGCGCTAAGCAACTCATTGAGACGCTGTCTCTAAATTAAAAAAATACAAGAATAGGCTGGGCTGTATCTTAGTGGTTGAGTGCCTCTGAGTTCAATCCTTGGTACACAAACCCACGCCCCACGCCCCCCCCCCCAAAAAAAAAAAAAACACAGTATGAGCCACATGAAGACAGGCTAAGCTGGTCTGACTACAATCCCAGAATACTTGAGCAAAGCAGACATGCATTTCTTATTTACCCTGCAGTCTATAGAGATGTGCAGCGCAGGGCGGTGGAGGTGCTGTGCTTTCCTGCAGTAGGGCTTCTGTCTCCAGAGACAGGGAAAAAGGACTGAGGGAGCTCTCATGTCCTCCTTTTCCACTGTGACCCCAGAAATGACAACCACAGCATTCGGCTCACATCCCAGTGGAAGGACTAAGTTGCCCTTCCAAGCTGAAGACAGGCTGGGAGACGCAACCTTTGCCTGGCTGTTGCAGAGAAATCGGAGCCTCCTGCACTGCTAGGGCCGGTGTGACATGATGTGGCTCCTTGGGAAAACAGCTGGGCAGTTCTTCAAAAGCTTAAACAGTTACCTTTGACCCAGAGGCTCTGCTCCTGCACAAACACCCAAGAGAAATGGAAACGTGTCTACAGAAAAATTTGCACACCAAAATTTACAGCCACATTATTCACCATAATATGAAAACAATAATATAAAAATAGAAACAATCCAAATGCCCATCAGCTGACATAGACAGGATCCTTCCATATAATGAAATGTTATTTGGCAATAAAGAGGAAGCAAGTGCTGAAACATGGACGTGAGTGAACCTTGAAATCGTTAGCTAGGTGGAAGAAGCCAGTCACAGAACACTACCCACCGCGTGATTCCATTATACAAAATGTGCAGAATGGGGAAATCTCTAGAGACAGAGAGCTAGTAAGTGGCTCCTAAAAGGTACAGGGTTCTTTCAGGGATGACAAAATTGTTCCACAATGGATTGTGATAATGGTTGTACTCTGTAATATAGTGAAAACCATTGGGTTACACACTTTCAGTGAGTGCATTCTGTGTGAGATCACAGTAATGTTCTTACTCCTGCTCCCAGGCCTCCAACGGCCTGTGGGAACACCCAGCAAAGGACCCTGCCCACTAACCTGCACTACGCGTGGTCTAGGGAGCGTGAGTCTTGACCTTGGTTAAATGCCAAGTGACATGAAAGAAGCTCAGGGACTCTGGCCAGTGCTGGCTTCTTCCAGGTCCTCTCCCAAGGCCCAGCTTGGACAGAGACAGGATTACTGAGTATTGTTTCCACCCAGAGCTGGAGAAACTGGAGAGAGAGATGGGCGTGCCGTGGTCTCTTTAGACAGGACACCCCATGCTAGATTTCTGGAGGGGCTCATGACCCTTCTTCCTGTTGGAAAAGGTGGCGTTTTATTTTGAACAGTCGTGAGGATAAAGTGATGAAGTGTCCTGAACCACAAAGAAATGATCGATCGCGGTACAGCTCTTACTGGGCCATTGGGCCCACACTGGAAAGTGATAAATAACTTGAAGGATTTTTCAATTACCTTTTCCATCCACAGGAATGGACACCCTGAACAGTGCCATAGAGAGTCTGATGACCTCATCTAACAAGGAGGATTGGCCATCAGTGAACATGAATGTGGCCGATGCCACCGTGACGGTCATCAGTGAAAAGGTGAGGAGTCCTAATGGACATTTGGCCTCCATGGGCCACAGGAGGCTTTGGATAGAGCAGTCTCCATGAAACCCAGAAAGAGAGCCAAGGCTTGACCTCTCAGGAGCTGTGCCTGCTCAGGATTAAAATGGCCTGCATTTGTGAAAGGTTTTAGCCTTTGTCTTGGTCTAAATCCATGCCTTTCTCCACTTTCCTCTGGACCTGGAAACCTTTGTCCTGGTGCTCCTGGTTCTGTTTTCCTCATTTGCCCAGGAGATTGGAATCATTTGCTCGAGGTGATTGAGTGACTCTAGCTGTAGCTCACCCGGTTTTCTGGCGAGGCCCTCTCTGGACTCCAGGGTTGATTGGACCATGCTGTCTGAGGTGGGACACAGAGGATGCTTCTGTGAGGGAAGGCCTGGTGGTCTGTCATGGCAGCAGGGAAAGGGGTCATTGATATCTTCACAGAGGCCAGCATTAGCTTCAGCCCAAATTACCCCACTCTTATTGCGGAAACTGAAGTACATATAGGGAGGTAAAGAAACTTGCCCGTCCTCACGCTGTTGAAGTACAGAACCAGGCAGTCTGGCTCCAGGCCCTTTGCTAATTTTTGATTCTGCTTATGAAACACATGTCAGGAGAAGCCCTCAGGTCACTACCCTGCTCCTCTGTCCACCAGCAGGTCACCTTCCAGCCCTGTATGATCTCGTCCCCACCTGCCTCTTCTACCCCAGCCCAGACCACTGGCCTCCTTGCTCCTGGACCTTCCCTCAGACCTTCCCACCTGCTCCCCCCATGGCTGGCTTCTCACCCTTTGAGCCCAACCCAACAGTCACCTCCTAGGATGGGGCTGCCTCCTGGTGGCTCCTTCCCCACCAGGCTGTTACATCTGGGGCTGTCTTCAAAGAGGTCAGCACAATGAGCCAAGATGTTGTGATCTGAAAGGTGCCATCCATTCCAGATGTGTTTACCAACTCAAAAATTGCATGTGATCGTTCCAAAGGATTGGCCCTTATGACTACAAGAATGAATTCCAGGCCTCTCTTTATGCCGTTTCATGTGGAGACCAGTTTGTAGAAAGGGGGAAAATGATATGACAAATTAGTTGACTTGACAACTTTTTGTTTTCCCTGGTTTTAGGTAGCAGTGTGGTGCAGTGTGCTGTTTTGCTAGGGGAGAGGGACCACATAGAGAGGGATGCAGCAAATCCTTTTGTCCTGGTGTCCTGGGGTTCACTTGGGGGAGCAGGCTGTAAGCCCCTGATGTCCCTGTTGGGCAGTGCACAAGAAGTGCATGTGACTTTGTTCCTCCCCAGGTGAACTCACAGACCGGGGGTCTAGTGGGTAGTGAATGGACATTTCCACGACATCAGTGTAGTTCAGATCATGCTGAACTGCCAGAAAGAGATGCCCACAGCACTGAAGTCCTGTCCAGACCCTTCAGCAAAGTTTTGGCTTTCTAGAAAGACCCAAGTCCTTTCTGAATTCAGTCTGGCCTTTCTGAATTCAGTGTGCTGGCTTCTCTGATCTGCTTAAGATATAAAAATTTGGGTGACTGCTGCTTGGTTTGCCAGAGAGGGTTGGATGCTAACCAGCGTCTCTCGCAGAATGAAGAGGAGACCTTGGTGGAGTGCCGGGTGCGATTCCTGTCCTTCATGGGTGTCGGGAAGGATGTCCACACGTTTGCCTTCATCATGGACACTGGGAACCAGCGCTTTGAGTGCCACGTGTTCTGGTGCGAGCCCAATGCTGGTAACGTGTCGGAGGCGGTCCAGGCAGCCTGCATGGTGAGTGACCCTGGCCCAGAGGGTCGTTCAGTCCTGTGCCTCTGCTTTTGTTTTCTATGCAATAAATTCGAGCAGAATCACCCATGTAAAAGAAAAGAAATCAAATTGTCAAAGCCCTGCCTTGTTTTGTGTCACTCTCGTTCCTGTGGGCAGGATCAATTAAGACAAGCAGGTTGCATCTCAAGAGGATCCAGTAATGCTGAGAAGGATGATCTTCCCAACTGCAGATTTGAGGACTTTTTAGGCTAAATGTCCCCAGTTAATTTCACTATGTGATCAGTAAACCCTAGTCACATATGAGTTGCTTTTGTTGTTGTTATTGTTGTTGTTTTGTACCAGGGATTAAACTCAGGAGCACTTAACCAATAAGCCACATCCCCAGCCCTTCTTTTGTATTTTTTATTTAGAGACAGGGTCTCACTGAGTTACTTAGCTCCTTGCTAAATTGCTGAGGCTGGCTTTGAACTCTTGATCCTCCTGCCTCAGCCTCCAGAGCTATTGGGATTACAGGTGTGCACCACCCCCAGGGGAGTTGTTACTTTCTGCATTCAACTTGACACGTTTTACTTTTAATTTAAAATAGTTGGTTTAAGTGCTGATATGTTTACTTTTAATTTAAAATAGTTGGTTTAAGTGAGTTGTTCTTATGTATCTGCAACAACCCTGTCAGGTAGTTGTTGGCTCAGAGAAGCTAGAATGAGGCTCTAGGCCCAGCCTAGGGTCAGCCCTGCACTGCCAGGTAACATAGCCAGGGCGCTTGTCACCACATATTATAGTTTGAAACAAACAAAAATACCTCATTGCTCATTGAACAAATATCCTTGGAGCATCTATTGTGGAAGACTCTCAAAAGGTTGTAGTAAAGTGAGGGAGATGCATAAAGCAGGCCCTGAAGCCTGCTGCAGTACAGCAGTGGCAGTTTGGGTGCTGGGACCCAGAGGAGGAGTCAGGACCATAGCACAAGGTTGCCTGTGGTGTCAGGCAACACTGGAGGAGCTGGGTTCAAGGGAGAGGCTGAGAGGAGTGATCAGCTCAGAGGCCGTCCGCCAGTCCACACAAGAGGTGAGCAGGGTCTGAGCCAGAGAGCAGCAATGGGAGGGCACAGGGGCCAGTGACCTGAGAGACTTGGTGGATACTGCTGGCCCAGGTGAGGGAGGCTGGGCTGGAGGCCCCTATACTGCGTTTAAGTGTTCCTGGGCTGGCCTGACTGTGTGACCCCTGCATCATGGAGCTCAGATGTGGTGCAGGAGATGCACAGACCCAAATCATGTTATAGTGTGGAAAGAGCTGTAAATAAAATAAGAGGCCACACTGGTTTGAGAATGAATTAGGGGGAGCAGGAAGGGGAGGCCCTGGAAGCAGATGGCTTCAGGCTAGTTCAGAGGGTGACACTTGACGGGTTTACTGGCTGGTTGTTATTTGATTTTAGGATGGGGTGACCTGCACACTTCTCGCAGGCTAAGGGCTGTGAGCCAGTGAAGCTGGACTGAAGTGGGGTCATGCACATACACTGTGTGGTCCCCTAAGGTCATAAGGGAACTGAAAAACTCTTATCATCTCCAGTGTATTTGTGTTTTAAGCTAAGTGTTATTACAGAAGTTTCAAAAAGTTTTTAAAAAATAAAAACAAAAATGTTGTTCCATTTTTGAAAAATAGAAGTTATTTATGGTGCCAGTGCTAAAGCAAATGAGCTAAAGCAAACTAAGATTAATTTATGTTTGAAGAAAAAAATGCTTAATAAATTTAGTGTAGCCTAAGTATAGAGTGTTGGTCGAGTCTACAGTGTGCATAGTAGTGTCGGCGGCCTTCACGTTCACTTGCTACTCACCCGGTGACACCCAGAGCAGTGCCTAGTCCTGCAGGTTCCATTTTCTATCTTTTATACCACATTTTTACTGTACCCCATGTAACATATATACAAATACCATTGTGTGTCAGTGGCCTTCAGTACTCTCAGTACAGTAACATGCCGTACAGGTTTGCAGCCTAGGAGCAGCCGGCTGTGCCATTCAGCCTGAGTGTGAATGGGCTATGCACCTGGGTTTGTGTTGGTGCACTGTGATGTTTGCACAAGGATGAAATGCGCAACAGCGAATTTCTCAGAATGTGTTCCGATGTTGAGGGCCACAGCCGAGTCGGGATGACGCATGGCATTCGACTCAGCTGTGGCCCTCAACATCCCCTGTCATTAGGTAACACATGATCTCACAGAAAATGGTTGTAGATGAAGACCTAGAGGAGGCACTTAGCCTCCTAGTTGGTTAGAGACCTTTTACTTTGAGACATAGGTGGAGTTGAGGAAAGAAAAATGTTTGCTTGTTGCTTTCTGACCTGCTGTACACTGCTAATTAAGAACCAGGAAAAGGGTGAGGCAGGAGGGCAAGCGGCAAAGGTGGCGACTAGGAAGAGAGCAGACTGACCTTGATCTTTTTTTGAGAGAATTTTTTAATATTTATTTTTTAGGCGGACACAACATCTTTGTTTGTATGTGGTGCTGAGGATCGAACCTGGGACGCACACGTGCCAGGCGAGCGCGCTACCGCTTGAGCCACATCCCCAGCCCTGACCTTGATCTTAAAACATACCTTTGACCTGGAGGGGGGCCGGTGGAAGGGAGGAGAGGCCTGGTGCTGGAGGGATATTTTCTCTGTGGGGCCAGGATGTTAACTCACACACCTGGGTATGAAGGAGCAGGGCTAGGATCAGGGGGAGCAAGGGGAGCTGCGGAGTCAAGGTGAAAGAAAGTATGATCCAGGCATCGGCAATTAGGATGGGGTCAAGGGGTCATATACAGCAAATAGATTTCAATCAAGCAAAAGTAGATGACTGTTTCGATATTTTATGAAATTGAAATGGATCCTAACAGATGGTTTTGGTCATAAACTGAATGGCTTTCAGCCTTAATTATACATTCTAAATGCTAACTACAGTTAAATGATTAGCTTCATCACTGGCTACAGTTTGTTCTCTAATTCCCAAACTCATCTTCACTGTTGGAAACAACTTTACTCTGTGCTTCCTATTCTGAGTGTAGGAGTGCGGCCAGTTGGAGTAGCTCAGCCAGTCAGTGCAAGGCACAGGGGTGAACCCAGAGCTCCTGCGCCCCTCTCCAAGTCCAGCTTTACTGATGCAGTCATTTTCTTGGTTCAGACGTACATGATCCTCCATTTGAAATATCTATGTATAAATTTATATTACCCAAAATACAATTCCAACACATTCTTCTTTCTTAATTTTTAGGCACATTTTATAGCTATGTCATGCAGGCTCAACTGAAGCTATTGAAGTGAAATTTGGAATAGGAGAGAGGGATCCTTTATGAAATTCATCAGTTAGGTGCAGTTTTTATTCACATTGTATATACAAAACTACTGTTTGAAATTCCAAATCCAGGGTCCAATGTTGGTGTATCCTGCCTGCCTATAAACTCATGCTCTAGATGTGGTTTGAATTGTGATTCATGTGTAGCAAGGTGCGTTACACGGAGTAAATATATAGTAAACCATCCTCGTTCATCAGCTTGAGTTGAAAGGGACCAGTTCTGTGGCCTATGGTATGATAGGACATTATGACCTCTCCTTCCTGAGTCCTGCTGAAGATATTTTATGTGTCTTAGAGAGACACATCAGTGTATTCCCCAACTCTACCAAGACACATCAGTGTATTCCCCAACTCTACCAAGGATCCTGCTAATATTTAAGTTGATTTTCAAAATCAGCTATGGAATTATTTTAAAGTACTTGGATCTCAAAAAACATTTGATAAATTTAACCTTTTCATCTAATTTTGAAAAATGAATTTTTTTCCATTACTGCAAAAGCAAGGGACTTTGTTGTTCCATTTTTGAAAAATAGAAATTATTCATGGTGCCAATGCTAATGGATTAAAAAAAAAAAACCTAATCCTTTGAAAGTTAAAATTGAATATAAAATGTATCCTGAAATCTGCAATCTTTTTTTTTTTTTTTTTAACTAGGGATTGAAACCAGAGCAGACTGACCTTTATCTTAAAACATACCTTTGACCTGGAGGGGGGTTAACCACTGAGCCACATCCCCAGCCCATTTATTTTTCATTTTGAGATAAGGTGTCACTAAGTTATTGAGGCTGGCCTTGAACTTGTGATCCTCCTGCCTCAGCCTCCTGAGTCGCTGGGATTACTGGCATATGCCACCACTCCTGGCCATCTGAAATCTTATTACATCATTCTTCTCTATTATTATTAGGGTAGGAAATTGGAACAGGAACAAACATTTATTATTATTTTAGAGATCCTATAAATATGTCTTATTCAATCATTGTCCCCTCTATAAAGGTCCCCACACTTCAGCGATTTTACAGTTGAAGAAACAAGCTGAGAGAAAATTAGTAACTGCTGGGGCACTCACAACTGATGGTGCCCTCTCTCCCATGCTGTCTCTGATGGGAGCTGTAGTTGACACTCTGACCCAAACCTTTTTGTTTTCATTGGCTTGCTGACTATGAGGCATATTAATTGCAAGCTACTAACAGAGAGAGTAAGTAGAAGGTGGAAACAGATGGAAGGAGAGGATGGCAAAATACCTTCGTTGAATCTTTTAGGAGAATTTGAAACGTCCATATTAAGAATAAAACAAACTCTTGAACTTACGTTTAGGACCACCTCTTTGCCTTTCAGGAGTCAACATATTGGTGTTAAATGAAAATCATATTAAACAAGAAGAAAGAATACATTATTAGTTCCCTTAAATTTTTTTGTTTGTTTGTTTTATTCAGTTACGATATCAGAAGTGCTTGGTAGCCCGGCCACCTTCACAGAAAGTTCGACCACCTCCTCCGCCTGCAGACTCAATGACCAGAAGAGTCACAACCAATGTAAAACGAGGGGTCTTATCCCTCATTGACACTTTGAAACAGAAACGTCCTGTCACAGAAACACCCTAGTTGCATATGTTAAAGGACTGTCATCTTTACCTGAAGATGGAGTAGCTGAAAAAAAAAAAAAAAAGAACTGATCTCGGCCTTCCATTCCGTTGCTGATGCTTTGTCTTCAGAGAATTCATCTGTACCCGAGCAGTGTTAGACAGGCATGTTCTCTCGTCTTGCCACCATCTTGTGCTATGAAAAGAAGCATGAATCTTTTTTTTTTTTTTTTTCCTGTCAGTAAGTTACATCCTGAGCAGTGGAAGGTCTTTTTCTTACTGTAAATATTGTGAACATTATGACTTCGCACATGCAGAGAAGAATGTGACCCCAGCCCCTCCTAGTGAACAATGCTATGTCCTTGGAGTGAATGATGCCTGCATTCTCTCACTGTCCTCTCAACTGGATCTGTCACAAGCAACCTTCAAGTCCTGCAGCACTTTGCCCTGTTTTCAACGTTGGAAACATGGAGACGCTGCATAGCAGATACCATTGAATTGCTGTAAAGATAGGATGACGAGTTGGGGTTTTAGTTTTTCATAAAATTGGACCTGTTGGTTAACAAATCTGGCAGTTGGCATCCGTATAGAAACCAACTGGCAGCTTTCCTTGACGAGCTGTGTGACACATGGATGCCATGTCATGTCTCCAGCTGATGGTGGGATGTTGGAAAAGAGTGGAACTTTAAAATGGATGAAAAACTAAATTTGAGGAATTAAAATCGAACAAAAAAAATAGCCTTTCTTTTCAGATGGTTTTCAAACTGATTATTTTCAAAAAGAGATTAACAAAATCATAATGCATTTTGGGTGGGACATATTTCAAACTTCTGCCTTACATTGTACAATGCAGCTAGAGAATTATAGTTCACTATGGCCATTCTCTACACAATGCTAAGATGAAATACTCCTCATGAACCTCTCATCCTTAGTTTGATGATCAGCCAATATGCAACTTGGAGTTGAGGAAATGCCATTTATATCTCTGTCATACACTATGATTTGAGGTCTCCTCCACCACTTTAGTTTTGTTAGTTCACGTCTTAGAGGTAAATGTTGTGCTAGAATTCCGCAGCTAGCTCAGTCTTATTCTAGTGCTTTTTGTCCAGAAAGCTGTCTGTCCATCATATATTGTCCATGGCAACAAACTACATAAGTTGGACCTTTTCTTGAATTTATGTATTTAATATTAGAATTTATTGAACTCAACTAGATATATTTTAAAATTTATATTTTTTCCATTTTACTTTTAAGATTTAAAAAATTTCATATCAGAGCAAAATATACATAGGAATAATGGGACTATTTAACAGTTTCCCCAAAACAGCATTTTCTTGCTTTTTTTATGCAGATTAGAAACTTAGCTATAAAGATATACCAATTTAAACTCTTGTTGACATTGTTTATTTTGCTAAGATGAATCTCAATATTAGTCTTGTTTACCTTCTAGTGTCAAAATTAACATTTTGACAACATCCAGTTTCAAAAGTAATGCTTTATGTTTATACACTACACTGCTTTGTTCTTGTCAGAATGGTTTCCACATTCTTATCACATTTGAGCCTTATAAAGTAGAAAAGGTACTGAACACATTGGAGAAGTAAGAACACAAAGTACCAAAAGGCTGAACCAACTGGCCTACAACCTCGCCAAAGTGCATGAGAGCCAGATCCAGGACCCATGCCTCCCGCTCCCAGCTCTTGCTGTGCTGTGCTCCTCTGCACAGTCAGTCAGGAGGACCCTTTCCAGATGACTGTGGCACAAACAAAGAGCAGATAGGGGTACTGTCAGGCAATCTCAGAATTTTCTCCGTAAGTAAAGAAATGTGTGTCCGAATTATTTAGTGCCATTAAATTAATCATAAAACCATTGTCCTCTGTCAGTCCAGGACTGTTCGCTGCCGTGTGCCTCAATGTGCTGTAGAGGACAGGTGTCTCCACTCAGTGCAGCCTCTTCAAATTGATGAGATTTTCCAGAGATGTTACTGTGGTAGAGCTACTCCTCACTCAGACCCTTAGCCACCAGGAAACATGATGGAATGAACAGAAGGCCTTCTGCATGCTGTTTCCTCACAGAATTCATGGAGGGGGGTGCACAGGGACTGGAATTGTTTGCTGGCACCCTAATGTTATGACAGAAACTATGCTATTTTAGAAATGCATTAAGCTTCTCGCCAACTTGCATACTGTTCTATCCAAAGTAACCAGAGCCATCATGAGAAATCATTGCATTAAGTAAACCTTACTGTGCCCTGTGAAAAGCTTTTTCAAATTCAGTTACGATGATCTTACATCTCCCTCTCCACAGTGAAACATTTTAGTGTCATAAACCTCAAAACACTAACCAAGTAATCCACTTTTCTACAGGAAATCTCTACCAGAAGCCCCTGTTCATTTTTTTAAGGCATATGTTCGTTTATTTTCAGGATCAAAAATATTGAGCTAGCTTTAAGTAGCAAACTGATTTATATATGCAATTATAGGCTATAATAAGGTGAATGATAGCCTGTACAAACTTTACTACAGATATTTTGTTTTGAGAGTAGCTTTGCATATTAAATGCAGATTAATTTTGTAAAATTAATTATGTTAAACGGTATGTTCAGACACTTTCTGCCATGGCCAAAAAGTATATATGAAAGTATGTGTGTATTTGTCTGTGAAAGGATGCCAGTGTTTTACCTGATATCTTAGTGAGACTTCAGTTATCTATGCATTCTTTATATCTGTGATTCGGTAAACAGGCCGCCATGTTCACTATGCCTTGTATGTTGTATCTTTTTTTAATTAACCTGTTAAATACAGCTTAAAATATTTTTATTTTATTTATTCTATTTTTACTGAAATATACTGCATTGTTGTGTTAATATATTATCTTTACTGGATATTATGTCACAATGTATTCAGGTCTAAGTAATCTCAGTGAACTACACATTGCCTAAAAGTTGGTTTTGTAATGATTTGTAGTCACATTTCTATTGGAATATGTAGAAGGCAAAATGCTTAAAGTTCCTTTTATTTTTTAAAAGCAGCTAGCTAGATGCAGTCTTGCCACCTCCTCTGTGTGCTCCTTGGCAGCATCAAGGGGAAGAGCCAACAGGCCTATGACTAAGAACTTGACTTTGTAAACTAAAGCACCGTATGGTGCTTCATTTTTATAACCTTCACAACATGTGTGATTTCATCTAAAGATATATACATATGTCCACACACCTTTTGTTTCCACCTGGCTATAAGGTCACCAATAGCTAATTAGGACCATTGTTTTTTGTCTGTCTTACTGCATGAAGGAACATTAGACTCATTTCCATTAAAACAAGTTCTTGGTGATAAACTGTTGGCACTGCTACTTTTTAAAAAAAAAAAAAATTCATATTGTGAATTTAAGATGGACACTTGGAAGATGGACACATGTGCTAGGGGCCGCCATGCTTCCTTTTCTTGAATGGCGCACTCATTTCACACAAGACTTCATGAACAACGTGGAAAATGTTTCCCTACCTGATTTTAGCACAATTTAATAAAACTACTGGCGCTCTTGGTTGGCCAGGCTTACCCTAATACACATCTAACATGGGGTTTACAGCCAGTAAATCGCAGTTTAAGTTATTTCAGTTTCAGGGAAAACATCCTCCCTGCCACCATCAATAAGAGCAGTCCCTGGCAGCCGGCGCCAGCTGTTCATCCTGAAAGGATGTCTTGTTTTTCCTTTTACCCCTTTTACTGTTGACCACTTTTACACATTTAAATGTAATATGTATTGAGAATAAACTTAGCTGCATAAAATGTTTGGCTCATTTATCTGACAACTCAGTCATATATACAAAAATTAGAATTTAGTGTGTCTGAACTAGTCATGTTATTTTTATATTACCTCAAATTAAACTTTTAAGGAATCATATTAGTAATGTAAGATTCTGCTTTGGTGATTGCATCTTTCCACCTGGGAGAATGAGAAGGTAACTAAATTTGATTCATTATCCTGACCTCGTTTGGTGGACAGACAGCTGCCATTCTGGACACACAAGCCTATCGAGTCTTTTGCAAGCAGTCGTTCTAGGGTTAAAGTATTTCAGCACAAAGTCTGTCTCATTTTCTTGAAGAACTTAACCTCAGAGAATGAACAAGAGAGGTGTATTGGCGCTAAAATCCAAAAGGTAGCTAGAAAAACCGACTGAATCTGGTCTAGTTCAACTTTCAGACACACAGAAGGGGACAAGGAAAAGGTAAAGTAGGCACTACTGTTGGTCTTGCATGCCCCCCAGAGTATTCTCTCTCCCCCTCATCGCCCCCCAAGGGCAGTAACTCAACAAACTTTCATTTTGGTTTCAGGGTTTTTATGATAGTAAATAGTTTCAGGTAAAAATCAACATTTGCTATTGAGATATCTAAACACCAATAATTTGATTATTTTAGTGTTTTGCAAGACTTTTACGTTCAAGCAAGTAAAATACCAAACAAAAAAATGTTAGTGTGATCCATATTCTTCACTACAATTCTCTCATGTAGCTTTTATCCTAAGTTCTTTCCGTTTTGTTTACCAAAGTATTTAAATAAGTGATCCTGTCCTGCTTAGAATATTCTCAGACTAAAATGCAAGCTTAATTAATGAATGGTTTAATTTAGAATCTCCATAAATTTCTAAAGAGAAAAATAATTTAGTACCAAGAGGCATGTTAGGAACTACTGAAAATAAGTGGCTTCAAAGTTGTGACATGAATCACATGCAGAGGTTATAAAATATCCTGAGCTGTTTCATTAACAGTGAGAGTTAACCCAGAAAATACACTTGAAAATAAAAATTTCAGACCCTGTGCTTCTGGACAATGGAATCATTTGCAGCCTAGAGTTGGAGTGAAGCAGGAAAAGGATAAAAGATCCCTGGGAGGGGCTGGGGGTATGGCTCAGCAATAGAGCGCTCACCTAGCACATGTAAGGCACTGGGTTCGATCTCAGCACCACGTAAATAAATAAAGGTATTGTGTCCAACTACAACTAAATATTTTTTTTAAAAAAAAAAATCTCTGGGATAAAATATCAGCTCTTCACTGAACAATGTAAAATTAGGCTGCCCTGTCCTCCTAGAGGCATGGGGTCCCCTAAGCTAGATTTGGGTGGGTATAAGATAATGAAACACCCCCTAATAAGTCTGGCTCAAGTATAAGAAGTCTTTTCTTTGAGCTGGGGCTGTAGCTCAGGCAGAGCACTTGCCTAGCACATGTGAGGCACTGGGTTTGATCCTTAGCACTGCATAAAATAAACAAAGTAAAGGCATCTGTCCATCTGCAACTGCGAAAAAATTTTTAAAGTCTTTTCTTCACTTACAGTTTCTAATGAAATGTAATCTTCAGCTGAAGGAAAAATCAATTAGTACTACTAAAATGAAATTCACCATTTTGCTTTTCTCCTCACTTCAAGTGAGAAAAGAATAACATAACTGAAACAGACCTAAATATTCTACTGAAGTATCACCTGAATTGAGCATTCCAGAATTACTTACACGTAAACACAACTGATTCTGAAAATAAAACTTTAAATTCAAACGTCATCAACGTGTCTATGAACTTTAAACAAGATTTATAGTTGAAACCTATTTAACGTTAAACATTTTGTTACTATGATGAAAAATAATCAGTAGACCCAGAAACGATAATCATACCAATATTGGCAATACCAATATTCATTTAAGATGAATTGACATTTAATATAACAGTGCTACAATATATTTTAATTGTGCATCAGAAATGATTTACCAAAGTTTGATTACTGTGTGCCATTTGAAACAATTTGAACATTTTGCTGTATCACCTGATCTTTGAATACAATCAGAAGTCTTTATAGGTTTCTTCAATAATAGATATCACTTGTATTCTTTGACAATAGATATCACTTGTATTTAACAGTTTTGTTCTCAGAATTATGAATGTTTTGATGGAAATTTGCTCACAGTCTTTTTTTCAACCATGTTTGGCATAAACAGGCAGAAGGAAGGGGTGATTGTGCTCACTCAATCCACTCAGGGTCCTAGATGCTCTTCCCACGAGAGACCCTCTGAATCGACACCTAAGCAATGCACACATGACGTTCTGGAACTTCCTGGGCTTCCTACTAGTACTCAGGCTCAGTCATGTTACCAAAACTCATGTCATGCCCTGTTTCAGGAACAGACAAGTACTTAAGAAAAAAAAAAATCAATCTTGATTGTGATTGGAAAAGTTCAGCTAGGACTGCTTAGACACTGACAGGGTGTTCCAGAGCTGGTGGGAGGGCCCCGCTTTCAACTGAACGCCCTCAAAAGTGAGTGAAGAGCAGCCTACTCCCAGAGAGACCATGTTTCCCTTCAGGAGAAATTGCTGAGCTTTAGTCCAGACTGGAAGTCAACAGGAGTGAGACGAGTTCTGACAGCTGATTGAGAGTCGACAGTGGGGTGTTCTCGAACAGATCAGCACTAAGCTGCTGCAATCTGAATTCTGCTTGCTTACCCTCTCTACTTATTGTCTCTCTCCTGTTTTGATTCTCTGAAGGTAATATCACAATTAGAAGATACTAAGTGACAAAAGGATGAGTATCTTGTGTAGCTATATCTCACCTTCTGAGAAATACCAGAGTTTGGGAAGAAAAACAAAAACAAAAACACCTGTTTCTGGCCCTGTCAAAAACATGGGGGCAGTCAAAGCCATGGTCGAGGACGCCTAACTAGGGAGGAAGGTAAGTTTTCTTTAGGTTTCTCCCCTCTTCTGGACGCTGATGGTGTGGGAAGGTAGCCAGGCACACCAGTCTTGGGCCTAACCCAGCGATAGTAAAAATGCTGATTTGGGACCTGAGATCTGATCCCTTGAGGACTCTGAAATGGCAACATTACTGGAGGCAAAACGATCTCAATGGGTTTCAAAGCAATCATTTTGTCTTCTGGTCGAGGTCGTGTGAAGTTGGTGTGCCGTTCACACGGCTTGCAGTGACAAGTGTTCTTCGTTAAGGTGGGTGTCAAAGGATTGATGGTAGGCTTGCTGGGTTTCCTGGTCTGTGTGGTGGCACCTACTTGAGATACATTTTTCTGTGGATTAAGTGCTTTTGTTATTAATGCCTCTGATCTGTTAGTACTTGTTTTGGTTTCTCGATTCAGGAACTCGGCAATTTTCATTTGGATGCCATTATTATCATTGGCAGACGGTTTGGGCAATGATGTTTTTGATTTTTTCCTCTTCTTCTCTCGTTTTGATGATTTCCCCAACTCAATCCCGTCCAGTAGCCCTTTTGCCGCAGCTCGGGCCAAAACATCTTTCACAGACACTGTCTCAGATGGGTCCCGCTACAATTAAAGAAGCATTTATTACTGTGGAAGGTAACTATTGTGCATATGGCAAATATTTGTCAATGTTTTCAGTGAAAATAAATAGAACATAATTTTAAAATAAATGGATTTTAGGCCTAATACATGCCATAAACCTCAGCAAATGACTTCTTTTTAACTTCACTTCTCCCATTTATAAACTTGATAGAATTACACAGCTGATTTCTTATGTCAGAGAAGATGCCCTCCCTATGTATTAACAAACTGCTTACAGAGGTGGGCATAGAGGGCAGGCAAAAAGAAACACAGAACATAAGGTATCGGGATTACTTGCCATAAAGCTTTTTCTTGCCCTTTAGCTATTTATGAAATATAAGCACAGCATTTCAAAATGTTCACAGGTTCCTATGTTCCTCTTGTGAGGCTCTGCCATTCCCAATTCCAAAGTATGACATGGACTGGGATTGTTTTTGTCTCCTTACCTCTCTTGTTAAAATAGAAAGAAAACAACCATTGGTAGTTTCAGATTGTTCCATTCTGAAAAACTTATCCTTAGCCAAGTGTATTTCTTTTAAGGAACATAGAGGAAGAACAGGAGGACTGAGCCTGCAACGGAAATGAACAAGCATGAAACAGCTGGAATGGCTTCTTTCAAAAAGAGGGAAAAAGTATTTTGCAAATAAATTTCTTCCATTATGTTTTACCAGTGATATAAGTAAAACTTCCAAATAAGAAAAAGTGCTGAAGCAGCTTTTCCCAAAACAACACATAAGGAAAAAGCTCTAGTATTTCATATTAGCTCAGAACTCATTATACTTCCCAAGTTCTGCATCCTTAAACAACTATGCCAATGACAAACTTTTAACTCAAAACTTCTTTCACCACTCAATATGTTATCAAAACAGGTAAGTATGTATAGGAGTCACAAAAATAGAACTCCAAACTTCCTATATTTCTACATTGTCAAAATATGAAATATAGGACTTCCTTCTTTCAGTTACTTTTTGCACAATTATAATAATGTAGTCTATCATTTTAACTACATTATTCTTCCAATATCTTTGTGGGTATTAATGGATGAGTTATAGAGTGTTCAAGAAAGTACATAACAAAAGACTTTATGTCAGAAAAAACTAATTTAAAATAAAATTTTGGTTTTTATATTTAATTTCTCATTTAATAGTAAGTTCATGAAAAGGTGATTCTTCTAATTCCATGCTTTTAGGATTAAAATGTACTTACTGTGTTAAAGCATTTTAACACTTAATCCACATGAATTCAAATATCAGGAAACTTTTTTACCAATAATTTTGTCTATTCTGACACTTAAAGCCAGTTTTAAATTTATATTTATTATTTGCCTATTAGGTAAAAAGTGCATGAATAAAACCTTAATTCAAAGAGTTTACAGATTAGTTGAGGAAACGAATCCATTTACAGTAATCTGAAAGAGACCATCTGTGGATGCTGGGCCAACAGAGACAAGATACAGAAGAGAGTAAGGCCAGTTCTTCCTGGCCCAGGCAGAGGGCAAATGTGAAGCCTTTGCAGAGGAAGTGATACTGAAGCTGTGTCTCGAAGAAAAAAGTAGGTTCCCGGTAACATAAAGAAGGTGATTCTAGACAGAAAGAAGAGCAGGAAGAAAAGCATATGCACTATGAGAATGCAAGCGCGGGCACACCAAGTATTTCCATGGATCTGCGGCATAAGGTGAGTGATGAGAGAGAGGTTGCTTAGCAAGGGGCAGACACACATGACCTCAGATGACATGCTAAAGAGTCTGACAACGGACGGTGCTAAATAAACAAATGAGGGCAAATGGCAGTGGAACTTATTTGAAATCAAAGAACTACAGGTTCTGAAAGTGAGAGAGCCAGCTGTTCCTCTCACCAACCTTGTAACCAGCCAGCAGTTTCTGAGACTATTCATACAGGTTGAGCATCCCTGATCTGAAAGTCTAAAATCCAGTATGCTTCAAAATCTGAAGTTTTTTGAGTGCAACATGATGCCACAGGTTAAAAAAAAAAAAAAATTCTATACCTGACCTAATGTGAACAAGCACACTAAAAATACTGCATAAAATTACCTTCAGGCCACGTGTATAAGGTGCCCACGAAACAAATGAATTTTGTGTTTAGACTTGGGCCCATCACCAACATATCTCACTTTGTATATGCAAATATCCCAAAATCCCAAAAGATCCAAAATCTGAAGTACTTCTGGTCCTAAGCATTTTGGATAAGGACACTCAACCTCTATGTGCTTGTTCTCTACACAAGTAGAAATTATTTTTAAAAGTTTATTCACTCATATAGGTTAAGAATACTCAATGAAAATAATTCTTATCAACCTACTTAGCTCCAAAATGTAAATATGAAGGTTTAGATTTTTGTTAATTTTAGTTTACTGATAACATTACTAGTACCTAGAAGAATGCCTGGTACCTACTAGGTATTCAATAAATATTTTCTTAATAAGACATATTATTTATCAACATATATGATGTCTTTCTTAATAATAGTCCATAATTAAGATTGATCAACTTATCTTCCAGAAACTGCTCCTACAAAATAGTTTCCAAATTCTAGCTTTCAGCCTATTTCTTTGAATAATAAAATTAGATCATACCCAGAATCTTACTCATCCCTGATTTAGATGGTGGCGTTTTGGATTTTTTTTTTGAGTTGATGATATTTAGATGAAAATTTGGATTTATAGTTGATCCTGGAATGGATATAGACTTTTGGAGAAGTTAAGGTGGGTTTTGGAGAAGTTGAGGTGGGTTTTGGAGATGTTGAGGTGGGGTGAGTATATTTTGCATGAAACAAATATCAATGTTGGGAGGCCAGAGAGTAAGCTATTGTGGGTTGAATAGTGTCCCCCCCAAAATTCATGTGCACTCAAAGTCTCAGAATGTGACCTTATTTAGGAATAGGTCTTTGTAGATAAAATTAGTGAACATCACACTGGAGTTGGATAAATCCTGAATCTGATACTAGAATTCCTATAAGGAGAGTTCACAGAAACACACAGGGGACGAAGGACATGTGGAGATGGAGGCAGACAGTAGAGTGGGGCAGTGTTGAGAGCCACAGCCGAAGGGGCCCCAGCAAACTTTCAGACTGCCAGCTGATGATTGGCTCACAGCGGCCCTAGCAACTTCTAGCTGATTGGCTCCTCTGCGGTGATGCTCATTGAGCTGCTTCCCCGCCCTTTCAGACTGCCAGCTGATGATTGGCTCACAGCGGCCCCAGCAACTTCTAGCTGATTGGCTCCTCTGCAGTGATGCTCATTGGGCTGTTTCCCTGCCCTTTCAGACCACGGAGCTGCTCATTGGGGGACTTTTTTGGCTCTACCCACGCGACCCAGCCAATCGGCCTCAAGAGCAGGAGGAGTGGGGGAGGTTGAGAGGCTTGTGGGAAGCTGGTGGTGGCAGTTGGGCTCTGAGGGTTTTTCCTGAGGAGCTGTTTTGTTTGGTGTGTGTGGTTCTAAAAATAAAGTTCGTTTCTTTTGACAAGTGGCTCCTGAATTGTGCCCAGCCAGACTGACGCATTTGGTGGCTCGCACGGGGAGCGACTGAGGGTAAGTGATAAGGTAAACTGCTCGCCCCTGAGGGCAGGGCGAGAGGATGGGTAGCCATTTTAAGATTCCTCTTTTGTTTTGCTTCACTTTTGTTTTAAGTTGCCTGTCCCTGGAGATGAGTGAGAGGGAAGAAAAACCGCTCACATCTGAGGAAAAACTATTTACGTCTGAGGAACAGATAGGGAGAAAGGATGGATGCACATTTCAGGAGGATAGAAAGGCTATAATAATTTTTTGTTGTTCCATTTTTATTTCATTCTGTCTCGGTTTTGTTTGGTGTCATCTTGTTGGGTTGTATTATAGTAGAAATATGGGATCAGAAATTAGTAAAAAACCGAAAGAGCGTTAAGTAAATTGTTAGAGGAAGGAGGCATCCCAGTAAAATCAAGAGCAGTCAGGGCATACATTGATACAATACAAAAATGTAGCCCATGGCTTTTTGAGGAGGAGTTGTTGAGTATATCACAATGGAACCATCATGGTGAAGATTTAAAAAGAATAGAAAAGAAAAGCCCAGGGACTCTGCCAGTTGGCACATTGCCATTGTGGACGTTCGTATCTTGTTTGCTTAGCCCAAAGCCTTCAATTCAGACAAAGGTAGAGGAAGGAGAAGACATATTGATTCAAGTAAAAGAGAAGGTCTCTCAAGTTAGTCAGAAAGAGGAAAAGATTCAAGTAAAAGAGAAGGTCTTTCGAGCTAGTCAGACAGAGGAAGGAAGTTTAGAGCAGAAAAAGCCATCAGGGGAAAAGTTACAACAGGAGACTGCTACTAACACCTTTCTATCACCAGATGGCATAGGTGTCCAACCAACAGCACCACCTCTACAGGAGACTACTACTAACACCTTTCTATCACCAGAGGACGTAAGTGTCCAACTAACAAGGCCACCTCCATATGCTGGGAGGCTCCCAATGCCCGCAGTTGATAGTTGGGATCCTGAGACAGGATCTCAAATATTAACATGCCCTGTATTTGAGGCAGGAGGGCAGCGAATTCACCATGCTTTAAATTTCAAAACAGTGAAGCAGCTAAAAGAGGCTGTAACAACCTATGGTCCTCAAGCACCCTTCACTGTAAGCTTGGTCAAATCCATTAACAACTTGAACATGACACCAGCAGATTGGGCTAATATGTGTAAAGCTGTGCTAAATGGAGGACAATAACTGTTATGGAAGGTTGCCAATGAGGAATTTTGCAAGGAGATGGCTAGGCGAAATGCAGCAGCTGGTTATCCTCAGAGAAATGTAGATATGTTGTTAGGAAAGGGTGGGGAAACAGCTCAATGAGTATCACCGCAGAGGAGCCAATCAGCTAGAAGTTGCTGGGGCTGCTGTGAGCCAATCATCAGCTGGCAGTCTGAAAGTTTGCTGGGGCCCCTTCGGCTGTGGCTCTCAACAGGGCAGCTACAAGGTAAGGAATGCAAAGGAGTGCCAGCAACCCTGGAAGCTAGGAGTGTGAATGGAACATCCTCCATCAGAGGCCCCACAAGGAACTAACCCTACCAACACCTTCATGTAGGACTTCTGGTCTTCAGAACTGTGCAAGAATAAATTTCTGTTGTTATAAGCCCCCGAGTTTGGGATAATGGGTTTCAAAACCTAGGAAATTAATACATATGACAAAATGGATTTTGCAGATGTACTTAAGGTCTCCAAGATATGAATATTATCTGGGGAGGACCTGATCTAATCATATGAGCCGTTGAAAGCCAATCTTGAGGTCAGATGGAATATCCCAAAGATTCAAAACCCAAGATTGATAGGAAACACCTGTGCTGACATGAAGTTGGAAGGAGCTTCATGGCAGGGAGTGAAGGCAGCCTTGGAGCTGAGAGCAGTCTTGGGCTGACAGCCAGCAGGGAAGTGAGAACCTTAGTCCCACAACCAGAATGGACTTTGAATGGACTCTTCTCCAGAGACTTCAGCCTGGCTGATATTCTGACCAGAGAACTCAGTTATGACATGCCAGTCATCTAGCCTCCAGGACCATGAGCTAATTAATAACTGCTTTTAGCCACTAAGTT